TGGTGGGATAGAATTTCCAGTGGGGCGGTTGATCTTATTCAAAAGGGCCTTATTCCCTTGTTATTCTAGGTGCTTGAACTCTCTGGAAGCATCGTAATAGGTGTATTTTTGATGGGGTTTCCCATAGTGTGGCCCAAGCTGTTTTTTTTTTGGGGGGGAACATGGCCCGAGCTGTGTTGCTAGCTATGGAGGATTTACATCTTGAGGTTTGGCCGGAGCACAAGGTGTTAACTTTCTCTTGGCCCTTATGCCGGAGGATGGTTGACCGGCATGTGTTTATTTTGTGGTCATGGTGGGTCTATTGTTGTAAAGGGCGCATTTGTTGTTTTGTGATATCTAGGTTTTGGTGTGGGTTTGTGTGGTTTTTTTTTTTGTAAGGGATCTTTCCCCGTGTTTTTGTTCTCTTCTTAATTGACACAAAGCTCTCATGCGTGTTCGAGGAAAAAAAAGTAATTGGAGCTAACAACTTGATGACAATTGAGGAATAACTTATTTTAGGGGCTAGACTATTGGTATTATGGCAGCAACCTTCTGTATTGAATTTCTGGCTGCTGAAGTATGGAAGCTTGTAACTGTATATTGCGTATGCTCTAGCTGACCTCAGTGTTATAAACTTGTAATAGTAAATCCTTGATGGTAGAGTTTCAAGCTATGTTCGACATAGAGTATTAGAGCATGTCTCTGCCCTAAACCAAAACCAATGGCAGAAGACCAGCCATGCCAAAAAAAAAGTAATATCACCATATATATAAAACACAAGGGACAATGATAGTCAGAAAAAAAGATTAAATCAAGGGAGTACCTTTTTCCTCCATTTTCTCAAATGCAGAAAGGGCGCTACTTGTATCCACGTTGCCCAACATTTCACTCACTTTTGTGGCAGTCCTGAAGTGAAACAAAGTCCACATCTGTCAGTGTATCCACAACAAAAAAAAGGGGAAAATAATCAACAAATAATAAATGCATACTTCGCTGATTGAGCACGAGCTTTTAGGGTATCCTTTTTCTGCTTGGCCTCTGCTATCTTGCTCTCAAGAACCTACAGAATGGCATATTCCAGTGGTTAATAATTCAACAATACTGAATGAGCACTTTTCACCTGGTTCACTACATGAGCACAAAGAACTGTACCAACAAATATAATAAGGATATCGAAAAGGGTCAAGACAGTTCTAGCAGTTCAAAATAGTAACTCACCTTGGTATTCGAAATCAGATTTTCAACGACACCCTTCTGTTGATCAAGCTGGGACCTTAAGGAGCTCGCATTATCCTAAGCAAACAATCACAAAAACAGTAAGTCTATATTAGGAATTTGATATGTTGATTCGACATGTCACATAGATATGTAACATTCTATTCCAATCAGCGCGGTAAGGAAACCTAAAACAAGCACATTGTACTACACATCATCAATGACACATACAGCATATGATTTACGCCGCTTAAGGGCTTCGCGAGCAAGATCCTCGTCACCCTTTTGAAGAGCAAGTTGAGCCCTCCGATACCTACACTTTGACCAAAAAAACATTATTCATTTATTACTGCAAAGCAAACATATGTCGAAGTTCAGTTCGATGCCGTAAACCATAACCATACCAATCAGCAGAAGCTTGTTCTGCAGCTTTGTATTTATTCTCAAGCCGCTTTTGAGACGCCAAGACCTACCACAACAAGAATCCATAAAATAGAATCAAATTTCCGTTTCACAAGCATAACAAGAGATGAAACAAAAGAGTAGAAGCATCTGATGTAAGAGGCAGCAAACAAACTAGCATGTAGCATCAGCGTTAATTATTTATGCAATAACACTGTAAAGATGATAGAAGAAAATGTGTTGAAACTTGGAAAAGACAACATTATGGCATTATTGGAAAGAAAGAAAATGCTCGTCAATTATACTGAAGGCAGTCACAACAAACCTGTGCAGTGGCCTGCCTCATCTTTGTCAAGTCATCATTCATCTCCAGAACTGCCTGATCTAGAATCTTCTCAGGGTCTTCAAACGAACTTAGAACTGCATTTGCATAGGACTAGAAAAACCGACGGGCACAAAACTTTAGATTACATATGAAAAATTGGTTACTGCAAATAACATAATGAAGGGAAAAAATACCACTCACCCTGACAACCCTTGTTAGTCTATCAAAGAGGTTACTTCGTATGCTATTGCACTTAAATCTGTTGACATTTGATTGTTGTAATTGCACAACTTTAAGTGACACTGTGGAGTGCAAGGAAGGGTAAATTAGTAGCCATAAACACAAATTTATAAACCATACCCATATCATTACATTCTGCAATTTGTAAAGTTCTCAACCGAAACATAATAGTTTTGTTCAATAGTACGAGCTTGTGCACTACAAACATGAGCAAAATCAAACATAAACATTCTGTAGAAGCATAGTCATCATGTATGAATTCAACTTAGTGCGACAACATAAAATCAAAGCACGAGCAGTGGTCTCATCAAACAGGCATCGCACACGATGAAAATGTTCCAGGAAAAAAATAATAGGATCCTGTGCTGGTGTTGACAACCATGAAGTGCAGTGAGAATCAACATTCACCAATATCTTCAGCTAAGCAAAAGATGCTTCCACTTTACGGAGTAAATCTCAAAACATTACAAGTCGCGAGGAACTAATTTAGTTTTGCCTATAAATCCAGGAAGCTATCAATTTATATATAAAAACAGAGACCTGTACAATAATAAATTCAACCAAGTTTAGGCTCATCTTTGCTCATGATGGTAAACAGGTGGGCATTACAGAACTAACATTGCACATAATAGTTCATCATAACAACATATTTATTGAAATCATGTATGACAACGAAGGCACCGAGCCACCGACCCCCACAGCCCAACTGTCGCCACTGTTCACGCTGGTGCAACAATTGCAGCAGCAGCAGCAGCACTGAGCATCCAGACAACAAATGTTCCCCTAGATTAGCATGCGGTAAGGGGGTTAGGGCCCTAACAGATTCTCCACACAAAAGCCTCAAGTACCAATCGCCCCTCAAGACAGAAAGGATGTAGAAGTGGGATACAAAATCGAAGCACGCACCGTTTCCCTTAAGGAAGGAGGTCCTCAGGGGGGTCCGGCGGAAGCTGGCGGAGGCGGGCGGCGGCGCCAGCCTCATGCTCGTCGGCTGAGCCCTAATCTCCATCGATTCGGGCGGGGGTCTAGCGTACAGCGAAACGAGAATGATTTTTTTTTCTTCCTGTCCCTCTTTTTTTCCTGCTTGGTGCTTCGCTCTATCTCTCGAGGGAGTTCGTGTGGAGAAGAGAAGCGATGGGAATGGAAAGCGATCTCGGGTCGGATGATTCCAGCATTGCGCGTCGCGTGGGCTCATGGGCCGTGGAGACGGAACAGCGGAAACTTATAGGCCCAATAAACATTGGTTTTACTTTGCTAAAAAAAACATTGGTTTTATTCTCTAAAGCCTAATAAATGTTTTTTTTTGTTAGGTATAAACAGCCTAAGAGCATCTCAAGAAGTCTTTCTAAATCTCACTATCTAAATCACCATTAAGAGAGACATTTGCATAAAAATCATTTTCTATATTTTTTCACTCTACAACAGTTTTTTTATATCTCATGCACACTCTAGATAGCTATTCTCGTCTTCTATTTTTGGCTAACGAAAAATCCGAAATAGAAGATAGCCATATTTGGATGACCATTTAGACAAGTTGTTGGAGGATAGTTTTTTACCAAAATCTCTATTCATAGCATTTATGATGGATATGGAGAGTCTTTTGGAGATGCTCTAATAAAGGTTTTTTGTTTAGGGAAACTAAAGATTCGGCTCCAATGCGGCCCTAGTTTCTAATTCCTGTTCGGGAGATTTTCAATTTTTCTACCACGATCTTTTTATTTAAATTTTAAAAAAGCACACACCGGCTTATATCCTTTTCCAAGGACTGGTTAGGTACCTCAGCAAAAAAGATCAGTCTATCTCACATCCCGTGTTTTCTCCCGGTTGAGCACCAGATTTTTTTTCAACCACACGATGAAGATCCAACGGTCTTGATTGTTTCTTCTACCTCCAGCTCACCCCTGTCGCCGCACACCACCCCGCCGCGGCGCGGTAGGGCTTGGCCGGAGCTCCGCGGCCCGCGCCCATGGCGGCCTCCCTCTTCCCCTCCCCTCCTACCACTGTCGATTTCGTCTCCAACTCTGGCGAACGACTGCGCCAACCCCTCCCTGTCCTGGCCCGCCTGCCTCCGCCACCACCAGGGCCCCTAAACCACCTGGACGCCGTCCCCACCGCCTGGCCAGCCTGCCTCCAGGGCCCCTTCCTTCTAAGCCCGCCGGAGTTGGGCAAGGGATGCCGGCGAGCTCGTCATCTCCGATGTTGTCGTGTGGAACCCTAGCCATGCAGCCGTCGTATTCGTCTCCGGCTGGGGCGGGCACGGGAGGGAGAGGGTTGCCAGTAAAATCGTGGAAATCGGCTAAAACAACCGAGTGATGTTTAGCTGTTTAGCTTTTCTGCAGAAAAATACTTCTACATAGTGGTTAGCACTAAGACGGATTGCGGCAATCAGATACGACAGTGTGGAAGGTCCGCCCCCTGGTGATGGCGAGTAGATGGGCGGCAATGAACGACACCAAGCGACGAGGAAAAAGGCTCAAGGAATGTTTGTCTGGAGCCTGGAGGTGGAAGAACACGTACTAAGTCGTCTACTACTGTAAAAAAAAAGGTGAAATCCTCAGCCGATCGATCACCAGAATTTCCATTATTCAGAAGAGAACTAGAAGCCACCATATTTTAGTACCATGCACGCATGACGCACCAACCCATTCCTAATCTTCACATAAACAATGTTCTAGCCAAGGCAGAACACACGCCATCTGCTTATTTAAACGCGCCATTATCTCGTCGCAGTCGGCACTCGGCACCCATCCAGACACTCGCTGTGCACGGTACCACGTACGGCGCCCACAGTTTCCGACCTGATCGATCGGCAGGCCTCGCCGTGCTCCGTGCATGCACCATGGCTAGAACCATTAGAGCACCCAAACACGTGGTCCAGCAATGCACGCCACTCCCTCTCTTCTCGGTCTTCCTCGTCGCGCTCTGCTTCGCCGCTTCGAACCTGCCCCCCGCGAGCTCGGCGGACTCGTGCAGCAACGGCCTCAGCCTCGGCAGCCTCGTCCCCTTCAACACCACCGGCCTCACCTGCTTCCAAGCATGGCCCTCGCAGGACTTCGTCCTAAGAGTACGCTCAGGCTCTGCGTCGTCGGCGCATACAAGCGCATTCGTTTAGCGTCTCTGTGCGCTCGATCGTGCGGTGGATAACTCCTCTCTGTAATGCCGTGTGCAGTTCGGCAAGGCGGCGCCGGGGAGCAACGCGTGGAGCTTCGTGCTGTCGGCGCCGGACAACGGCGGGTACATCTCCATCGGCTTCTCGCCCACGGGTCGGATGGTGGGGAGCAGCGCCGTGGCCGGGTGGGTGACGGCCGCCGGCGCGGGCTCCGCGAGGCAGTACTACCTCGGCGGGACCACCTCCAGGTCGTGCCCGCCGGACCAGGGCAAGCTGACGCTCGCGAGCGGCGCCGCGGCGCCGACCGTCGTGTCCAAGGGGTCCCGGCTCTACCTCGCGTTCCAGCTCGCCGGGCAGCCGCTCACTGACATCGTCTACGCCGTGGGCCCTAGCGGCACCTTGCCGGGGTCGAACGGGCTGCTGCCGCAGCACCAGGACATGGCGGCCGGCACCATCAGCCTGTCCGGCGGCACCAGTGGCGGCGGCAGCCCTGCTACCGGCGGCGGTACGTACGCCAAAAAAAAAGATTAAATTAAATCCACGCGCGAGGCGCCGATCTGTTTCTTGACTGACATTCTGATCGATTTGCGTGGGTGGATGTGGGTCGCGTTTGCAGGTGATGACGACGACGATGGCGGAGAGGGCGGCGAAGGGAAGGGCAAGAGTAATCGCTCAGGAGAGGGCAGCGGTGACGGTGGCGAAGACGGTGACGAGGGGAAGGGACAGAGGCGCACGTCCTCAGCCTCAGCATCCAGCAGCTCGGGCGGCGCCTTCCAGAGCGCGGCGCGGCGGCACGGCGTGCTCGCGCTCGTCAGCTGGGGCGTGATGGTGCCGGCGGGCGTGGCGCTCGCGCGCTTCTTCAAGCGGTTCGATCCGTTCTGGTTCTACGCGCACGTCGTCGCGCAGGGCCTCGGGTTCCTGCTCGGCGTGGTGGCCGTGGTCGCCGGTTTCAGGCTCGACGACGACGAGGGCCCCGTCATCACCCACAAGGCCATTGGCGTCGCCGTCCTCGTCTGCGCCTTCCTGCAGGTGATGGCGTTGCTGGCGAGGCCGGCCAAGGAGACCAAGGCCAGCAGGTACTGGAACTGGTACCACCACAACGTGGGCAGGGTGGCCGTCGTGCTCGGCGTCGCCAATATCTTCTACGGCCTCTCGTTGGCCAACGAACGGCAGGAGTGGAGCTACGTGTATGGCATTTTCATCGGGGTCTTCGCGGTGGTTTACCTTGTGCTCGAGGAATGGAGACGTAGGCATTGATCCGTCCGCGGCAGATGGTGGGGAGAGGACTTCAGGCTGTAGCTACACTGCACCTTTTCTTTTTGCCTGCCAGGTTCTTTCCATTGCATGCATGGTTGCCATACGGGCCCTTGTCTGTGTTTAACATTCACTTGTATTATTTCTTCTCGTGGCATTATTTGTTCTGTACGTACGTGTAGTGAGCCTCTGTGACAGTTGTATGATTGATATATGGCATTCGTTTCATTGGCATACTTGTATATATATATATACAGTTTTTTTTTGTGTGAAACGCTTGTATATGTAAACTGTGGTATAGGAAAGCATTTGTTTATTTATGAGACATTCTGAATTTGGTAAAATTCTATTAAATCTTGATCAGAACTACACGAATTGTCATGAACTGCAAGATGCTTTGACCAGTGTGGTGTAATACAGTGTCCAAACGGCTCTACAAGTACAACACCATCTAGAGGGTCATTTGAACATTATGCATTAAGGGTATAATCAACCCTTGCAAACTTTGGGGGTGTTTGGTTACATGGATTAATTTTTAGTCCCTGTCACATCGGATGTTTGGACACTAATTTAGAGTATTAAATATATTCTAATTACAAACTAACTGTACAGATTGAGACTAATTTGCGAGATGAATCTATTAAGCCTAATTAGTGCATGATTTGATAATGCGGTGCTACAGTAAATGTGCGCTAATGATGGATTAATTAGGCTTAATAGATTCGTCTCATAAATTAATCTCCATCTGTGTAATTAGTTTTATAATTAACTCATGTTTAGTCCTCCTAATTAACATCCGAACGTCCGATGTGACAGAGATTAAACTTTAATCTCTGGAACCAAACACCCCCTTAGCCTAGCTTAGTTGGTTAGGTTCTTGTGGTGGAACTTGTCCACCGGGTGTAAGTCCTCGACTTAGCACGGGTGTTCGTATTTTCCAGTATTTAACGACGTTGTGCTTTCAGTGGTAGGCGACGTCGGCGAGACGTCTGTAGTGACTTCGTCAATTTCGAGATGTGCCAGCACCATCACGTCGACAGCGAGGCACATATTGTGACTTTTTCAATCTCGAGATGTGCTGGCACAGTCTTTCGGATGTGTTCATAGGGGTAAAGTTTGCGTACGTGTGTTCATAGAGGTGAATGTACGTGCGTGTTGAGCGTCTGCGTCTGTACTTGTGTAATTCGCAAAAAATATAATTAACCCATGATAAGTAGACTTTTTGGTATTTCAGGTCAGCGAAATCGCTTTCAAAAACGATTTAGGGGATTATTTAGACAATTTTTAATCATTTAAGGAAAAATAGCTAGTTTTATAGGTGAGGGAACAAAGCAGATAATGCAACTACCAATAATTTAGAGTGTTTAGTAGACTTTTTCCTGGATTGCTAGGTTACTCGTCGCTTCAAGTTTGCGCCCTTAGATAAATAGATAAAGGGCATAATCCAGGTGTGTGACATTTGCTGTGATGACGGTGACTAAAGTAACACGGTACACATAGATGATGGCCCCTGGTCCAGGCCAACTTCAGAATGTAGCGTGCACCGCGTAGCGAAGCGCGGCGCCCGACGCGTGGCAGTGTGTTATATACTATTCCGTACTACGTACTACGGAGTATATATCAAGTGGGTAAAAACCGTGGGCCGCTAATGGAAAATCAGCGGCTACAAACCTGATCAAGCCTTAATGCTCAAAAAGTCAAAGATGCAGCACGTCTATGCTTATTTTCAGCGAAGTTAGATTCAGTTCAGGCTACTCGTCACCTAGAGTTTAATACCATGCAACTTTTTTCTAAAGCTATTACGCCATACATCTTAAGCATCACTGTATAAATATCTTAGTGTTGTTTGATCTTAGAAACTCTATCATATTGGTCTAGGCACTGTACATACATTATTGCATTGAGCCATTATTCTCTATCCTTCAAAAATCAACTAGGCAAATGAAAAGCCGATGAAGATATCTCTAAAGGGCTTGCTTAGCTTGCGCTACAGTGTATGAACAGGGTGCCAGGACACGACACTTTTATTCCCGGTAGAAGAATGTTTTAGTATAGCTGCCGTTGGGGAGGGTACCGCATCCATGTCCACACCCGCTCATTGTCCATACCCATGCGTATTAACGTGGATAATATGATAATATCTAATAGATTTTGAATACCCAACGGATAAGAAAGGGAAGTAACACAAGCATTAGCAGCAGCAGGGCATTAGCGCGGTGGATACTGAGCTGGAGTTTGCACGTGCCTGAAGGTGGCTGAATGAATAAGGTGGATATTATCCTACCGCAAACAAATCAAAATGGGTATTTTATTTCTAACAAATCAAATATGGGTATTTTATTTTTTACTAACCGGGCCATCATACCCATTCCGATTATTAATGACGGCAAGGCGCCCGAATTTTTACTTTTAGCCTTTTTTTGAAGTTTCTTGACCCCTGATATGGGAATTGAATATCTGGCGGCAGGTATATGTTTTACCAACCGGGCCATTTCCCTGGAAGAAAAAAACATCAATAATAAAGTTAAGAGATGGAATAGCAAAAGTACGACGACGTGCTTTTACAAAGATATCGCGATCAGTGACTGTCCAGCAAGGTTTGACTGGGGACATGACACGGCAAGGCGCGTGGTCGCCACATTTTAACCTAGCCCGCTGGGTGCGTTGTCATTCGAGCGAAGCCCCATGTGAGTCTAGACACCACTTGCAGGACAAGTGCTTTCGTTTTGCTGGTCCTTTTGGTGGAGTCCAGACTCCAACGACGCCGCGACCCAACCGCTGTTCGTCGTCGTTTTCGTCGTCGTCGTCGCCACACGCCCGCTGCACCTTTCTGAATTCCCATGGGTCTAGGTTCAAGTGCCCCAGGGCCGCGACCCAACCGCTGTTCGTCGTCGATCCGTCGTCGTCGCGGACCTTTCTGAATTCAGATTCAGGCAGGTGGCACCTTTCCAAAGAGATAGGCAGGTGGCACCTTTGCACTTGCACGCACCACCAAAAAAAATACCCAATATCATGTGCCCATGGTATGTAGTGGCCCCCACCCCAGTAGCTTCAGATTTCAGAAAGAGGTTAGCACTAATCAAATGGTAAACGAGGGTTTTAATATTTGCGCGGCCTGGAACCTTCTAGGGCTCAAGCTTATCAAACCACGAAAACCAGCAAATTCTATCTCCTGCGGTTGCCTGTCGGTGTACAGTAATGCGTGTGGCCTCCACGCGGCCGTCGTACTCTACTATGGAGCGATTGGAGATGCGCGTATCCAACGAACGCGTCCGCTGTCTCCTGTTTCGATCTGACCAAGTGACCATGCAGGCCAAGCAACATGCAACAATGCCTTTGATCTCAGCATCTCTCCTCTGTGAATGATTTGCAACTTGAGTGCATTTGGTTCAGTGTCTAAGTTAGCAAGGCAAATTTTAGCTCAGTTTTGGCTATCATTTGGTTGGATGCATGGCGAATTTAATTGGCTTGGTGTCCTCTTTCTTTGGCCACCGTAGTATGACAAAATTCATGGCCACCGTAGTACACTTTGGTAGCCAAAGTTGACAAAATTCATGGCCACCAATTTGGTGATCACTATTCCAAATTTTAGCTTGGTTATTCGTAGAGATATGGCACAAGCCAGTCGCACCAGCAGGAGACACAGATAGAGGATAAAGGGACATGCTAAAATTCCCTTTGAGGCGACAATTATTACAAACATTTTGTACTAAAATTGTAGATTTAGTTCATTACAATTTCTATAGGCGCAATCTGTAGTTTTCGGCATCGAGAATAAAGAACTCATTAAACAAAACCACAAACTCGGCAAAATTTGATTTGTGCTCGCACAAAATAATTAACAATTATTTTCTATAGGAAGACAAAGACAAAAAAATAATATGTTATGACACAAAGACAAATAACAAAGCACAAAGGTAACAAATTACTTCGTCGCAAAAAAAGGTAACAAATTACTTTTACTAATTAGTGGTACAAGAGTATTGCCTGAAATTGTCTTAAAATTCAGGCACCTGAAATATAGGAGAAGTGGGGATAAAAGGTTTATGCAGTGCGTGTATGTATGTTGCCTGCATGCAACCAAAGTTTGCCAGGTCAATGTGCAGGTTGTGTCATCGAGTAGAATGTGTACAAATCAGAATGTCTAGAAGATTAGTACAATCCGTAGACACCAGAGTTGCCCGTTGTTTGCAGTTTTATATATGTCTATAAACGTTCTTCTAAGTACTTATTATGTATGTTCATGTATGTAATTAAAAGGTGAAGTGTGGCTAAACCACCAGCTAAAATATTTATGCAAAAATAAACCAGTTTCCAGGTCAACAACTAACGTGACGCTACATTTGTGTACGCCAATTGCCACCGCTCAACTGCCACGCGTTGTCTACCAAGCATTACTTCGTCGAAGCAAGCTCACATTTCGACAGGCCTCACGTTCCAACGGCCGGCTTGGTATATATCTGCACCTCCGTTTTGGCCAGGAAACCACAGCCCGGACACTCCCATCCCATCAATCTGCAGGCTCCCACCGCAGCCCACAGCTAACTTCCTGCAGACGAGCCACGCAACCGGCAGAGGTGACAGATCGGATACCGACATGAAGCCGAGGTCTTCTTGCTCTCCCAGCATTAGCAGAGCACTGCTCGTGCTTCTGCTATGCTGCTTGTGCGGCTCCGTCGCGAGGTCTCAGACGGCCGACTCGTGCACCAGCACCACCGCCCTCGCCGCCGTCAGCCGCCTCATCCCCTTCGACACCTCCAACCTCACCTGCTTCGACGCATGGACCTCCCAAGGCTTCATCGTGCGCGTACGTCAGTTACACATGCACTTGTACATGTTTTCATTGCCGCCGTGTGCAACGGCCACGGCCCGAGCAGTTGTACTGATTATTGACGCGAGCGCGCTTGCAATTGCATGCAGTACGGGAAGAGCGGGCAGAACAACACGTGGAGCTTCGTGCTGTCGGCGCCGGACGGTGGCGGCTACATCTCGGTGGGGTTCTCGTCGGACGGGGCCATGGTGGGGAGCAGCGCGGTGGCCGGGTGGACGACGGCCAGCGGGGCCGGGGTGGCCAAGCAGTACCGGCTGGGCGGCACGAGCCCGGGGAGCTGCCCGCCGGACCAGGGCAGCCTGGCGCTGGTCCCGGGCACCACGCTCCTGGTGGCACAGTCGTCCCGCCTCTACCTCGCCTTCCAGTTCACCGCCGCGCAGCCGCCGCCGCCCTACCTCATCTACGCCGTCGGCCCCTCGGGCGCGCAGCTCTCGAACAACTACCTCGTGCGGCACCGCAGCTACGCCTCCGCCGCCGTCGACTACGACACCGGCGTCGCGTCCAGCGCGTCCGGCGCCGGCGCGTTCAACACGAAAAAGTGGCACGGCGCGATGGCCGGGCTCGGGTGGGGCGTGCTCATGCCGGTCGGCGTCGCGCTGGCGCGCTACTTCAAGCGCCACGACCCGTTCTGGTTCTACGCGCACGTCTCCGTGCAGGGGGTCGGGTTCGTGCTCGGCACCGCCGGCGTCGTCGCCGGGTTCAAGCTCGACGACGACGTGCCCGGCGCCGACAGCCACCAGGCGCTCGGCGTCGCAGTCCTCGTCTTCGGCTGCCTCCAGGTGCTGGCGTTCCTGGCGCGGCCGGACAAGGGGTCCAAGGTGAGGCGGTACTGGAACTGGTACCACCACTACGTCGGCCGCGCCGCGGTGGCCTGCGCCATTGCCAACGTCTTCATCGGGCTGTCCATCGCGCACGAGGCCGCCGCGCTCAGCGCCTTCTACGCCATCTTCCTCGCGGTCTGGGTGCTCGCCTCGGTTGTTCTCGAGGTCAGGCTCTGGAGGACCGCCAGATCCAGCCATTGATGGTTCGGTGCGCGTGAGGCGCCGATTCATGTACACAGTACACGTACAGTATTTTCTCTTCTCGACTACTCCTATATATACTGTGGACTATATAGTAGTACGGTAGTACCTCTAGGTGTCTGTGTGAGCGTAGATGATTTGTCTTCGTTGAGATATTTCTTGGTTTGATTTAATATATCATCATTGATTCGGTGCGTTTTCCCGTTTATTTTGATCTTTGGGTTGATTCATTTGATTTTGTACTCAACCTACAGCGTATGCAGGGTCTGACTAGAGAAACTAGATTCAAATTGTATCGTCCTGATCGCTTGCTTATAATCCGTACTTTTTCTCTCACAACGAATAGTATTTTTCTCTCACAACGAATCAGGGTATGCCGGATATGCACTGACATACCCTGCGGCACCGGTGAATATACTATTATATATACGTATATGCATTTGTATTTGTAAAAAAAAGGAAAAAACTTACCTGGAATGGATCACGCCACCACGAACGTCCCACTTGAGACGGCCCACACAGCAAAGAAGGTGCTGGTCACCCACGAATGGATCACGCCACGAAACACAACACAGGCACACGCAGGCCCACACGGCCACACTGACCACACGACGGACGGAGCGAGTGGGCCTAAACTGCTTTTCCCTAATCTAATCTCGATCGGAGGCGACGGACGGCCGGAGCGAGAGGGACGGTCAGGGCGCCCGATTAGATGTAGCAACTGCCGCCACCGCCGCCTTTCTTCACTCTATGCTTGTGAAAAAGAGATGCAATATCCGCGTTTCTTTTCATAACTGTACAGATATTAAAAAACACGATGCTAAATAATTAAATAATTTATTAATTGTGATGTTAGCAAATAGCACAAGAGATTAGATCAGGGGAACTGGGAAAGTGTGATGTACTCACCGCGTCTCAGGCGTCAGGCTGTCAGGGTGATCCAGTTGAACCCGTGGTGGAAGAGCAGACTTATGTAACGCTCCGACCCGGGAAGACGGCTAAGGCCCACTCTACACGTTAAATTAAACACACCTGTTAATTAACTCTCTTGCGCTCTCGTCCTTGCTTCGCGTAAAAGGATCAATCCAAAGTTAACAGCCTCTCAAGTCCAGGCTTTTAAGTTGGTCTAGCGTTGGTTCATTTCCGGTATGGGACTAAACTTGGAATACTGCAATGATGCTACAGTACCCCCCAAAAGCTACAACACCTCATTGCTACAGTGTCACAAATCCGGTCCGGCCCAACTGGCCCAATGGGCTGGGTCTCACAAACTCATGAGAGAGTAATTGAGGAAATTGCTTCTAGCCGTGGCAACGGCAATTGTTGAAAGGGTATTTTCTGCAATGATTTTAGTGAAAACAAAGTCACGAAATAAAATGGGAGATAGCGTTTTGGATGATTGTCTAGTCACTTTCATTGAGCAGGATATTTTCTTTGAAGTTAATGAAGAATGATATAATCAAGATATTTATGTCCTTCAAAAGCGTCGAATAAAACCCTTAGAAAAATAGCATTGTCTCTGATACTTATTATGCCTATATTTTAATTATCGATATGGCTTTTGAATTATTTATATTGTATTTAGTGGATTGTTTCAACTTAATACATGAATTTAAGCCTTATTGTATTACCTAGTACATATATACCAATTTACGTTGTCAATTTTTAAATTATTACTGAATTGATAAAATGGATTTATCGAATTATATATGAATTTTTTTGGACGGCATACCATAAACCAAAATCTTAGATTTACCAATGCAACGAATCAGTCCAATACAATACTTTCAGTCATGATTTATCGGCCAGCGGCGGAGTCCAAACTCCGATATCCTCACTTATTGTGCACCTTTTAAATTGGCAATGTCCACCACCGGATCCATTCGCGACGCCCAAGTTAACCAATTACTTTAGAGAACTACTACTCCAATACGTACTCCTCTTCCTAAAAATAACACGGATCTTAAACCAGCCCATAACTAATTAATATTTTTATCAAATATTTTTCTTGGATTGCTGGAGTCAACGAGGACCGAGAGCTACTCGCGGCCTCGCGGGCGACACCACCGTGATGAAATCGATGTCGGAAGGAACCGCGGAAGAAGCCGTAATGGCTAGCAGCCTTGTTGGAGCTAACTTTAGCGGCGAAGGGAGGCGCCGCTGGAGCTGCCGAAGACGCGCCCCAAGAGGCCTGCAGCTGCAGACGAACCGAACGGCACTGCCACCGCAGCGTGCACCCGGACATGCCGCGCATGTAGAGGTCACAGGCTGAGTCGCACGTCCGAAAAAACGGGCGCATCAATACGCCAAGCACCTGCAACCAGCACCACCCTTCTTCTTCATCCGTGCGCGTTCCATGGACGGCTTCCGATCTCAGGACGAGGGGCAAGACAAAAACGAACACTAGTACAAAAGTACACAAAACTACTGCAAAGCTAGCATGCTTATGGTGCGTCGTGCGTGGCAATGAGGCTCATGGCAGGAGGTCCACGCGGTGGCTACGATGGCATGTGTAGGTGCAGTTATGAGCACAGCCATAGTCACCGTGGCCGTGCACCAGCGGTTCCGTGAACTCCATACCCATCATCGGGCGCGCGTGCATGCTTGCACGGTGCGGCAGGCCAGGGACGCGTGGTAGTAGAACGAGCGAATTTGAACTAACGGTAACGGACGAGGACGGGGTTGGAGGTGACGTCCGCTGGGTTCGCCGGCTGCCAGCGCTCGGTCTGCTTGGTCTCGGCACTGTCTCCGATGAGTAGTAAAACCATCAGCACCGCACAAAGGGGATCTGGGAGAGATGGCTTTGGGTTAGGACTGAACAAAAACTGGGTTGGACGGGCCGGGCCATGTGGGAGCCAGGAAAATAACTAAGAGAAAATTATAATTAACTAGATAAGATACTTTAAGATCTGTGCAATTTTTAGAAAGAGGAGTAGTGCTGGTACTTGCCATCGACCACCCACCACCAATATAATAGATGTTCCATCTTATGGCACCTGTAGTATATTAGACCTCTCTATCTTTAAACTGATCTCCGCGTAGCGTGAGGTTTTCATCGACTATGTTTAAGGTTTAGACTTCCAACCAATACCTTGTTGCTTTGCATGTCGCCTTTGTTGTGCTATACACTTCACAAGGCCTCCATTCTAAACCCACACCTCATGAACTTGATGTTAGATTCCGTGTTCTATTTGTATTTTCCAAAATTTTTGCTAAATGTAATTTAAATATGGCATGTTTGTGAGGGAGTCTTGTTGGATATGACAATCTCATATGTCTAGGCATATATGATCGGGTTATGTTAGGGATTATCCAGATATTCAATTCAATCCATGATAGAGAGGTCCATGCCAACCATAAAACTAGTAATGAGGGTGTAGGGCGATGGAACAAAACATACAGTTGAACATATTCAACCTACTATTTTTGTTTTTCTCTTACATGACTGTTCAAAACTCTAAATCTCCTGTACCTAAATAGGAGATCCCCATCAACCCAACACCAACAGAACACCATCGGTCAATCTTATCTGCTTCCCCGTCCTTCCCCGCACGATCGATCCCAGGAATTGAAAACATCCCCATTTATCGATCCCAGGAACTAATAATGTCCCCATTTATAATTTATTTGGGCCATGCAAAGAGATGTCAGATATTTTTAGGAAACATATTAGCAGAGAGAGAATAGAATAGAAACGTATTGATAGTGGACGTGAAAGTGGATGAGCAACTCGGAAAATAAATTAAACAATCAATTCAACCCTACAGCTTCCCATCCAACGTCTGAGTTCTGACTTCTTATCTGATGGCAACACCGATCCAGTCCCGGCCAATATAAGAGACATCCATGAGAAGCGTCTTGGACTGCAGACACACACAGGATCTCTAATCTAAATCCTTTGCATCCTCCGTCTTCTCCTCCATGGGAAGCAGCAGATTATTCTTCTTGGCTTGGAGAACATGCTCCATTGGTGCTACCGCGTTAACGTCACTGGCAATGATGCGTTGGAGCCGCTACCACAAGGATCGTACCATCAGCCCCACGGCGGACACCGAGGTGGCACCTCTGTGGCTACCTTGGGACATTCCAGAACGCCTCCTCCCATGTCATGTCGTCTTTGCTGGTCACGTCATACAGGAAGTATAGAGTCATATGTTAGCAAGTGTCCACGTCATACGGTAAGTATTGGTGTCGCCTCTCCTGCTTTCTAATTACTCCATTTCAATTTCATAACGTGTTGAGAGAAACTAATGTTTTTTCTCCTACCACATGCAGGACATCATCAAACAATGTATGCAACCTTGCCACCATTACTACGTAAATCTGGAAATATCGTTGTTATTCCTATCATTGTGATCCAGTGATGTATCTTCATGGCTATGACTTATCCCTTTTTGGATGGATTTGGTTTATTTCCAAACCCAAAGCCATTATTATATTTTTCTATATACTCACTATGAAATTAGTTAAATTGTAATTGCTGAGACTTCTACATCAATCTAGAAAAATTGTCCACAAAAACCTCTATGGAATTCCCGCAACAACGCGCGGGGTATCATCTAGTTCTTTCTCAATTTTTTCTCAATTTTAGTTATGTTCTATCAATCTAGCCACATTGATTAGTTATGTTCTTCTTTGGTTCGTAAAGAAATCTTCTTTGGTTTGGTTTGTGTGAGAGAAAAATACTGTTCTGGCTGAAAATTTACGATCATTTACGACAAGCCACAGCCAAACGAACATGCTGTAAATGCTTAAACGTTGGCACCACCTACTATTTAGCCATTATCCAGGCTTAAATGGCAAGCCACATGGACGAAAGAGTCATTTGTATGTGATAAATGGCCAATTAAATAGAAAACACAGAACATTTAAATTTTAAACGTTATTAAAGCAGACTAAACAACAATTTTAGACAAACAATGTCTAGAGATGATTAATTCAACCTTGGTAGGTGCTTGCTTAAAAATCCTTCAACATCTCCTATCCTTAGCACTGAAGTA